GGCGAACTGGTCTATCACAGGGGGCTTCTCCTTTGACTCTGGAATCCCTTTTGTATGAACTGCCATTGGAAAAATGGGAAACTCACACTCATGGATCTTTGTTTTTATTTGAGCTTAAGAGATGAATAAATTTCAAGTTTTGGAAAAATGTTCTCATAATTAGAAAGCCAAAAAAAAAAAAAAAAAAAAAAAACCCTTAAACAAACCATTCAGATTATTTCCATTTCCAGAATGGATTTCCTGTACTCCTATTCAACTATACTGATTGAAAGTGAAGACTTCTATAAGTTTGGTTAAGCAGTCATTTGAATTTTCATTTTTCTAATTTAGATTTTTCTCTGCTTAATCTAGTATGGTGGTCAAAGGAGTTGTTTGCAAGAAAAATGTTGCCCATCGACGGATGACTTCAAAAATAGAGAAACCTCGGCTGTTGATTCTTGGGGGTGCTCTTGAATACCAGAGGGTTTCTAATCAATTGTCAAGTTTTGATACCTTGTTACAGCAGGTTTTGCTCATTTATGCATATTTTTCTCTTTGCACTTAGTGATTTGACCTACTGGCTACATCAGCATCTAGATTCATTCTCTCTTTTTCTACTTTCCTTGTTTCTTCTTTTTGCTTACGGTGTTGACATCCTTAACCAGGAAATGGACCATTTGAAGATGGCAGTAGCAAAGATAGATGCTCAGCACCCTGATCTTCTTCTTGTAGAAAAATCAGTTTCTCGATTTGCACAGGAGTATCTTCTTGGCAAAGATATATCACTTGTTCTCAATATTAAGAGGCCACTTTTAGAACGGATAGCTCGCTGCACGGGTGCTCAAATAGTCCCTTCAATTGATCATCTGTCCTCCCAAAAGCTTGGCTACTGTGAGAAATTTCATGTGGAAAGATTTCTGGAAGATCTTGGCACTGCTAGACAAGATGCAAAAAAATTGGTCAAGACGTTGATGTACTTTGAAGGCTGCCCAAAGCCATTGGGTTTTACTGTAAGTTGTAGATCATAAAATAAAATAAAAATAAAGACAATAAGATCATAAACAAGAGTTAAAAGTTCAAACCACTTCAATTTGGTGCAAATGAGAGTTTAATCGTTCTTCACCCCTAGATTATCAGTTGCTATGTCACCTCCCACGGAGATTCTGAAAGAAAATTTGACTGGAAAGGCTTGATCATCCAAGTTGGGTTGTATAATTATGTTCCCAACTGTGTCAACCTGGACAAATTTTGTTGTTTTGCTTCAGTAATCCTTTTCATATTCTTGCTGAATACCTTTGGTCTTCTGTACGTACTTGGTACAATGTATTTATGTTTCCTTTCTTTCTTCCCTGTTTTGCTTCAGATTTTACTTAGAGGTGCAAATGGAGATGAATTGAAGAAAGTGAAGCATGTGGTCCAATATGGGGTTTTTGCAGCTTATCACTTGGCTGTGGAGACATCTTTTCTGGCTGATGAAGGGGCTTCCCTGCCAGATCTCCCACTGTTAAACTCTCCCATCACTGTGGCACTTCTAGACAAACCATCAAGCATTGAGAGATCCATCTCAACAGTTCTCACTTTCCCTGCCAGTGAAAAGCCCCTGGAACCTCAATGTAGTGAGCCACTAAGATCTAACAGTTTGCCCACTTCAGAGCTTGCATCATCCATCATTAATGGTCCTTTCCAGAAAATAGAGGCCACACCGCCATCTTGTTTACCAAATGCACCAAGTTTACAGTCCACACAACCCACTTTGACTTCCATAGATTCACCAGGCCTTCTATCTTCTGCACTTTGCGAAAAAGTTGATAGATTGGAGGGAAAAAATGAAATGGAGCTGAGAGAATCTCTGATGGTAAAAAATTCTGAAGCCAATGGTGGGCTGGCTACCATGAGGGATTGTCTCACTACTAATGATGTTGGGTCTTTAGAAGCTTCAGGAGGATGTTCTCTGATAAGCAGTGACCAAAAAGATCATAGAGCAACTGATGGAAATCAGCTTGGTGGTTCAGAGGAATCTTCCTTGCAACAAGATGCTAATAACCATTCTGAGGAGCCAACACCGTGCGAAGAAGCATTTCCTCCCTCACCTTCTGACCATCAGAGCATTTTGGTTTCTTTATCATCAAGATGTGTGTGGAAAGGGACTGTCTGTGAAAGGTCTCATCTCTTTCGTATCAAGTACTATGGAAGCTTTGACAAGCCTCTTGGTCGGTTTTTACGGGATCATTTATTTGATCAGGTAAGTTTAGCCATTTCACACATTTACTTTCTATTAGAGAAAAACTGGCAATTCACTTTTGAAACTAAGGAAGCATAATAATTTGTCAGAGCTATCGATGTGATTCTTGTGATATGCCTTCAGAAGCTCATGTCCACTGTTATACCCATAGACAAGGCACTCTCACTATATCTGTGAAGAAGCTCCCAGAGATTCTCTTACCAGGTGAAGGTGATGGGAAGATCTGGATGTGGCACAGATGCCTGCGGTGTCCAAGGACCAATGGTTTTCCTCCAGCTACTAGGAGGATAGTAATGTCTGATGCTGCTTGGGGTTTATCTTTTGGGAAGTTTTTGGAACTCAGTTTTTCAAACCATGCAGCTGCAAGCAGGGTTGCAAGCTGCGGCCATTCCCTTCACAGAGATTGTCTTCGTTTCTATGGGTAAGTTACTAACCCTCTTATTTTCATATTTGTTGTAACTAAGTATTTGATAAAAAATAGTGAGTGATCCTAAAAGAGTATGCCAAACATTTGGGATGGATCCAAGGTTTTTGTTTGGTTGGGCAAACATATTA